AGCGAGATACAGTAACCTCTAGAAGTGTGAAACAGCGATACCACGCAGACTTTATGAAACAGCACGAAACAATGTGAACACTCAAGATACAACTTTGTGTATTTCTAAAAGTAAATAAACTGCGTTATTGTACAAATGTCATGTACTATAAGGAAACAATGTGAACTAGCGTGATACACTATTTTCTAGAGCTAGAAGTGCCAAACTGTTATCAAGTTAACGACAGATAAAAGCATGAAACGATGTCAACTGGCGAGATACAGTGATTTGGAACACAATAGCAAGACCAATTTTATTACAAACATCACGTGACAGCACAAATCAATTTGAACTAGCGAGATACTGCTTTGTCCACTGCTGGAAGTAGAAAACTATATTTTCATGAAAATGTCATGAAAACAGACGAAACAATGCGAACTAGCGAGATACAGCATTTTGTACCACGGGCGAGGGTGAGCAAGTACAGTTCTAACAATGCAAACGCTGCCGCCCCCTGGACGAGACAGCCACCTTCACGAGTTTAGCCGACACGGAGAAAGCGAGCTTCATGTGCAGGCTGTGCGAGACACTGAAGGCGGCAGTTCGGCACATGTAGGCTAGCATTGAGGGGCTGCAGGGGAGCCGAGGGTGAAATGGGAGCAGAGGATGGAGCTCCAAAAACAGCTCGAAGCGTCGCGTGAGTGGGAGGAGCAGCTAGCCTATTAGAGTAAATGAAGGGCGACCATAGAAAGTAACGAGAAGGGTGGACCGAGCTCGAGCAGCGGGTAAATGAGCTAATGGTGCTTTGCCGCAGCCCCAAGCGGTGCGAGATGGAAGGCATGGGTAGCGGAGAAGGCGACAGGTGGGAAGAAACAGGCGAAAGGAAAGGTCAGGGGGCCACAGTGTCTGGTCACAGCATGGAGGCTCCGAGAACATACATTTCTGTGGCGCGGCATTCTTCGAGCAGGGCAGGAACACAGGACACACTGAAGAGAGAGAGAGAAACAGGTGAAACAAACAGGGGCGCCATCGCAAACAGAAAGCCAGCTAACAGCGTAAAAGGGTCCTAGTGGCACTGGTGACTCTAATGTGGCCAATGTTAGGGATGGGGTCTTCACGACAGTGAAGAAAGATGGGAGAGTGAGGGTGGAGGCCCAGTCAGGGAAGTGCATGGTGGATGCACTGGCCAAAACTCAGGAGGTTGTAGAGGGCAACATGGAGGGCTATAATCTTATCATTATTCATGCTGGCCTTAACAATGTGCTGAAAAGACAGACTCGGAACCTTCGGAGACAGAGGGTGGGATGCGTAAACTCCGAGACGCCTCTGGGAGTGTGCATGTTACCATATATATGCACAACTCCAGAGGTCTGGGGGCAGTCTCGTGAGATTGAAAGGGGGGTAGTGCAGGCTAACGGTGTGATGAAGGGTATGACCCGGCCGCTTAGATACAACGTAATGAAGGTGAACCAAGACGTGTAAGAGCCCGGCGCTCGTACTTTTGCTCAAGATGGCATTCATTACAGTGGTACGACAAGCAGGAGGGTTGGTAATTGGATGGGTCGTCAAGCCACAACTTTTTTAGAGGGACCCGGAGCCCTGAGGCCAACAGTGTAGCCAAAGACGATTATAAAGGGCTACCAATACTCAAGCCACACGGGGCCCGTGGGAGAAAAAATCGACGTAAGCACGAGAGCCCGGTGAAGCAAACAGGGGTGCTATGCAGGGTGGCAGGAATAGGTTAAAGTGGGAAGAGATAGAAGAGCAGTTAAGGCAGGAAGAGCTGATGGTATATGAGGTTGTAGAAACACATCTTCAGGACATGGAGCAACTATCTTGCAATACGGACTACGTATGGGAATATTGCAATAGAACAGAAGGCAGCATAAAGGGGGGTATGATTGGTGCATTCATACACAAAAGTATGGGTTGGCAAAGAGTCAAGCAGGAATGCAAAGAACATTTATGGAAGGGAAAGTAGCTGGGCAGATGACACTCCTTGGTTTGGTGTACTTGTGGACGGGAGCAAAGGCTACAGAGGAAAACCAGGCAATGGTGGAGTAAATAACAAGTGAAAATGAGAAATTAGAAAGAGAGTGCAGGATAATTATTCTAGGAGATTTGAATGCACACGTAGAAGATATAGATGGGTGTACTGGCCCAACAAGCAAAACTATCATGGACATGTGTGAAAGGCATGATTTGATCATTAGCAACATTACTGAGAAGTGTGAAGGGCAAATAACATGGGAGGTAGGAAAGCTGCAGTCGACGATAGATTATGCACTGATGTCACATAGGATGTATGATAGGCGCAGGGGAATGCACATAGATGAATGTGGCTCCAGAAGTCTGGGTAGTGATCACAAACGTATCAAGCTAAGTTTTGGAAGAGCAATAAAAGTGGGAAGAAGACAAGATGAGCAATTACAGGGTAGTTTTATTCAGAAAAGCAAATAGAAATAACTACTAAATAAACTGAGAAAGTAATCACTGAGAATAATACAGTGAAATCTCGGTATAACAAACTTAGGTGACTGTGGAAATTTGTTCGTTATTTTGAAAGGTCGTTATGGTGAAAGCTAGAAAATTAACCATAAATACTTATTTTTCACCGACCAAAATGACTTACCTTTACAACGGTGGGTCCTTGAACTCATTTTTCTCGAGAAAAAAAATACAAATACACAAGTAAACACAAAAAATGCACGTTTGCTTCAAAGAAATCTGTGAATTTTTTTTTGATGCAAGCAGCACAAACTTAGCAGCACGAAGGCCTCCAGTTCGTCCATATTTCTGTGGTGCGATTCGGTTCTTTGGTCACAACAGCCTGCTTTTTGCCTTCTAGCTGCTGAAGAATATCCATTGTCTCGCTTAGCAGAAACTGCTTTGGCTTCTTCATCGCAAGCAGAGATGAACTCATTTGTAGTATCACCGCAGCGCGAACCCCGACTTGCTTTGCAGACGCGATAAGTAATCACTGAAAAGAGACGAACATGACTGAAAAAACAAGGCCTCCAAAGAAAAACCCAACGCGTCACGGCTGTCATCGCCTCTTTCGAAGAAAAAAAAAAGTGCTAAAAAAGAAAATATTCCCTGTTTCGGTTTCTGCTCCCTCGCTGTCTCAGGTTTTAAGTGCCCATGCTTCCTGCAACGCAACTTCCACTCCGCCTCGCTGACCTTGCCCTCCCCTGTTGCGCTCGCCTCTGCGCCCACTTGTAAACCTGCAGTGTCACCGTTTCAACAAAAATAAAGGAAGGAAAGTCATCCTTTCATTTTTTTTTTTCCTCCACACCATTGCGCGTCTTTTTAGAAGCAAGGCATCCGTTCACTTTGTCGTCTGCTTGCCTACCGCTCTGGTGGTTGCAACGGATTTCAGAACATAAGTTCGTAGTACTGAGACGATGTTAATATACTGCGGAACTGAATTAATGCTCGCTATTCTGAAAAGTTCCATATTCTGAAATACATAGTAGAGAAATTATTTTACATTGAAACTTTTAGCAGTCGGCGCACGCTTTTTTAAAAGTTTGTTAATCTGAAAAGTTTGTTAATGCGGGGTTCGCTCTACCGAAATTTCACTGTAAAACAGTGTGGACGTACACACATCTAATTAGACTGAGCTAGAGCTCGCTAAGGCACGTGACAAGTCAACCCCGGAAAAGGAGACACAAACCCAAAAGTTGGTGGGATGAGGAAGTTAACAGAGTCATAACAAAACGTCAGAAAGCCTCTAGGGAAAACGGACATGCTAAGCAAAGGTGTGAAGCGACAGATGATGTTGAAAAAAAATGAGATTTCTTTCTAAGCTATAGAAGGGAAGCGTTCCGTCTGATCAATGAAAAGATTAGAAGAAAGGGGGCTTAGTGGTTGGCAGAAGTACATAAAAAAATAGAAAGGCAGCTGCGAAATTTTGGAACCATCTAAATTCCCTAAGAAATGAGACAAGCCTAGAGCAGAGGTTCATAACCACAGCTCAAGGTGTTAGGCTAAAAGAGGACGAAGCTATTGAATATATACGAACAGGGATGGCAGAAAAATTTCAACAAGGCATTATGCACCTTAATAGAGAAGGATGGATCAGGTGGTGCAGTGGCTCCATTTTCACGACAAGAGAGAGAAAGGGCTGAGAAGAGGGTTCCTAGTAGTACATCAACAGGCCCTGACGGCATGTAAATTATGCTGACAAAGGAATTAGTTTCCAAGTCTCAGCAGACTGAGAGAGGCAGCGAGAAAAAGAATAATCAATGTGAAGTCCCTGATGGATGGACACTTAGCAAAATGAGCATGATCTATAAAGGAAAGGAGGACAAAGCTGACACAAACAACTATTGTCCTAAAACAGTGACATCAGTGGTTTACAGACTGCATGGTGATGCAGATTATGAAGAAAAGACTGCAGGCATGGATAGAGGAAGAGGGGGTGCTGCGGGAACTGCAAAATTGGTTTCGAAAACAAAGGAGGTTAATGGACAATCTGTTCTCACTGACGCGGTGCATTGAAATAGCAGAAAAGAACACAGGCCCCTGTGGCTAGCATTTTTGGATATTGAGAGCGTACGACAGCGTGGTTCAAGAGGACTTGTGAGGAATACTGGACACACTAGGTGTGGAGGATGGAGTCACTAAGCTCTTAAAGGATATCTATAAAAGTAACAAGGTAGTTATAAAATGGGAAAAACAGGTATTCGAGCCCACAGAGATAAAATGGGGGCTTAGGCAGGGGTGTCTTCTGTCACCCTTGTTATTCATGATGTACCTCAAAAGATAGTGTCTTGTGACTGGTGCCGCGTGAGCGTGCCGGAGCACGAGCGGCCCGTGCCCGCGGAGAGAGACGATACGCACGACAGCTGCTCAGCTAACGAAAAAGGGCCCTCCCACTTTATTCGGGGCAGAATATATACAATCTCAGGGGCGCCACATGCTAGTGGCAGCCGAACTAAATGACTGAAGGGTGGCGACCTCTACATCTCCCCCCCTTGAAGACCAGACGGAAGACGGAGGACGCCAGACACTGCACATCACAAGTTCAGGCGGTTCGGAGGCACAACACGGCGACCACTACGTGTTCGTGTCACACCATCACTGCGGTCACTGTCTGCAGGGGGCAGTCCAAGGGAATCGGGTGGTTGCACTGTAGTAGTTCGCTGTGGCTCCTGCTCCTCAGACGGCGGTGGTTCCACCCTTGGCGCAGGAGGTGCAAAAGGCACTAGCTGACGCCGGTTGTGCTGTAGGACGCCACCCTGCTCCGTTTCCACGACATAACTTCGTGGTCGGCGTGCTGGGCTAAGCACTGTAGCTTTGACCTGATCAGGTCGTACCCAGACACACTGGCCTGTTCGGAGCGATGACAGGTCTTGAGCTCTGTGATGTCTGTTAAAGTCAGCGGCCTGTTTCTGCTTGTAGGCTGCATCTTTTCTCCTCACGTCTTTCCTCGACGGCCAGTGAGGACATAACTGGGAGTCCTGTTTCGGCACTTTGGTTCGAAGTTGTCGTCCCATCAAGAGCTGGGCCGGGCTGAAGCCATCGACTCCGGGGGTGTCCCGGTAGCTGAGCAAGGCCAGATGAGGGTCTGTTGCTTTGCGAAACAACTCCTTGATGGTCCTGACCATTCTCTCCGCCTCTCCGTTCGATTGTGCATAGTGCGGGCTGCTGGTGACGTGGTCAAAGCGGTAAGATGCCGCCAATGCTGCAAACTCGCGTGAAGAGAACGATGGACCGTTGTCTGATCTGACTTCTCGCGGAATCCCATGCCGGGCAAAGATGATTTTGAGAACGACGATGACTGCCTGAGCCGTTGTGCTCCGCAAGGTTACAACTTCAGGGTACCTGGAGTGGTAGTCCACCACCAAGATGAATGTCTGGCTGCGGAGGTGGAACAGGTCCATGCCGACGAGTTCCCAGGGACGTCCAGGTAGGACCGTGGAGACCAGGGGCTCTGCAAGGTTCACCCGAGTGGAAGCACATTGCTCGCAGTTAGTTACCAGAGAGGCAATGTCTGCCGAAATGCCAGGCCACCAAATGGACTCTCGAGCGAGAGCTTTCGTCCTGTTGATGCCTTGGTGTCCTTCGTGCAACAGCGTCAAAACAGCCGGCCGAAGAGAATGCGGGATGACCATCCTGGCGCCTTTCAGTAGAACACCGTCGCAGACAGAGAGCTCATCTGCTGCTGAGGCATACTGGGAGAGGTGCAGTGGCAGTTTGGACTTCTGTGGCCAACCATTCTGGCAGAAGGAGGTGAGGGCTCTGTATTCGCCATCGGACTCTTGTGCTTGTCGCACGTCCTCTAGGCTTAGTGGCAAGGCTTCTGACATGCCGCTGACCACTTGAGCTGCAAACATTTCCACGGTGTCCAGGGGGAGGGACGCCTTTTGGGTGATGCATGACAAGGTATCTGCCGTAGCTAACAACTTTCCTGGCACGTGGAGCATTCGGAACTGGTATCGCATGGTCTTTAACCTGAGCCTCTGTATGCGAGGCGGCAGCATGTCCAGCTCCATCTTGCCGAAAAGAGAAACGAGTGGTAGGTGATCTGTCTCAACATCAAAGGTGATGCCACGGACGAATTCGTCAAACCGTTGGATGGCCCATGTTGTTGCCAACGCTTCCTTTTCTGTCTGGCTGTAACGCTGCTTTGTCTCGGTCATTGATCTCGAAGCAAACGCAACTGGGCGGCGCTCTCCAGAGGGCTGTGTCTGCAGCAAGACTGCGCCCAGTCCGAATGAGCTTGCGTCAGCCGAAACTGTGGTGGCGTATGATGGATGGTACTTGGCCATGCAACGGTCTTGATGTCAGGAGTTCCTTGATTTTCTTGAATGCAGCATTTTGTTCATGCTGCCACACCCAAGTCGCAGACTTGTTTAGAAGTGCTCTGATGGGAGCTGTGACCTCCGAGATGCAAGGCAAAAACCGGGCAAGATGGTTCACCATTCCGAGCAGTCGCCGGACACCTGCGATGTCGGTTGGAGCCTTCATGGCTTTGATTGCTTCGACCTTGTCTGGACTTGGCCTGATGCCTTGTGCTGAAACGATGACTCCTAGGAAGGAGACTTCGGAGACACCAAAACGACAGTTGTCTTGGTTCAACGTGATGCCTGCTTTTGCAAGGCGAGACAGCACCTGGCTCAGTCTGGCATCGCGCTCCTCGCGGGTGCGCCCAAAGACCAGAATGTCGTCTATCATATTGGCGACTCCTTCCTGGCCCTCCAGGATCCTGGCCATCTGTTTTTGGAAGTACTCCGGCGCGGAGGTGATGCCAAAGGGGAGCCGGCAGAAGCAGTATCGGCCAAATGGGGTGATGAACGTTGTGAGCTCTTGGGAGTTTGCAGATAGTTTAACCTGATGAAAACTGGCTGTTGCATCCAGCTTGGAGAAAACTGTTGCGTCGCCAAGGACTTGCTCTACAGTTGGTAGGATGTGGCGTTCCCGAAGGACCACCTTGTTCAGCTGAGTCAAGTCAACGCACAGCCGGTAGGAACCATCGGCTTTCCGTACTACAACGAGACCAGAGCACCACGGGGTTAGGTTGTCGACTTTGCGGATCACGCCTCCTTCCTCCAGTTTGTCAAGCTCGTGACGGACGACCCCGCGTAGCGGGATGGGAATCCTGCGAGGCACACTTAGGGAGAAGGGTACGGCGCCAGGTCTCAGAAGAATAGTGTACTCGTCTTTGAGGGTGCCCAATCCCTGGAAGAGCTCAGCACGCAATGTTGCTTTCGGAGTCTGAAGTTCGTCGAGAAACTTTACAACTTCCAGAGCTTGAAGCGCCGGCAGTCCAAGAAGAGGTACGGTGAGAGACTGGATCACGTACAAGCGCTGAGAGCTCATTTTCCCGTGCCACCGAAGTCTCGCCATGTACGAACCCAGCACGCGCAGCGGCTGACTGCCAGGTCCGGTGAGCAGGCTGTTGACGGGGTCGAGCTTGGCCGGCAATGCAGGGAAGTCGCTCGGAACGGCGGACACCTCGGCTCCGGAATCGACCTTGAACTGCGCTGTGTAGTTGTCAACGGTGATGTCGACGAACTTTGCCGCGGCGAGCGTCCCGACAGCGTGTAGCTGAATGGAGCCGAGCTTCTGTTTTGCCTGCCGCGCGCGGCACACTTCCGTAAAGTGTCCTTTCTTTTTGCAGAAGTTGCAGACGGAGTGTCGAGCAGGGCAGTTAGAACGTGGATGTGGCGCGCGGCCGCAGAATTCACATGCTGACGGCTGGCAGGAGCGCTCTGCTTTCCGCGGGGGCGACGGCCGCTTATCTCGTACGGCGTCGAGGTGTAGCTCACGGGAGTGCTCTGCGCAGTTTTGAGGCAACGTTTTTTCTTTGTCGGCGTCTTCTGATTGACGGGCCTGCATCCATGCTTCTTTGAGCGTCAACTTCGCGTTCCGGTAAAGCTGGTGCGAAAGGCGCGAGTCACGGAGGCCAACGACGAATCTATCGCGTACAAGCCTTTGCTCCACCTCAGCTGACGGATAGTTGCACCGCTTCACCATTCTACACAGTTCGGCGTAGTAGGCGTCGACGCTCTCGTCGGGTAACTGAACACGCCGGTGAAAACGCGACGATTCGTACAGTTCATTCGCCGGATGCACGAAGTGGTCGGTGAAGCTGGCGGCAACCGCTTGAAATGAGGCGTGTGATGCGGTGTCGAGCGAGAACGTCTCAAGAAGTGGGCGGGCCTCCGGCCCCATGCAGTACAACAACGAGCGTACCTGCATGTCGCCGGATGCTTGAGTCAGGCCGGAAACGACGGCGTAGTCCTCGTAGCGGCTGAGCCATGCTGGCCAGGTTCCCGGGTTCACGAAGTCGAACGGTGCGGGCTGCTGGAGGTTGAGGCTGAGCTTTTTCGGCGCCACTCCGTCGAGGGCCATCGTCGTGCGGTACGGCCGAGTTCGGGATGAGGGGGCGTTACGCAGCCACTTCTGACACCATGTCTTGTGACTGGTGCCGCGCGAGATGTGAAGTGTCACAGCAGATGTGAAGTGTCACAGCAGATGTGAAGTGTCACAGCAGATGTGAAGTGTCACTTCACATCTGCTGGCCACTTTTTTTGAGATTGTGGGTGACGTCGTGCATATAGGGTATAAGGAAAAAGGTTTGTTTGTCCTGTCCCTTTTGTTTTGTATGAGTTCAAGCATGTCTCTGGGCTCATTCTGATTTCTCTGAGCAGACAATTGGGAACGGCAGTCAAAGGATACATAGAAAAATCTGCCTCAGTGAGGCGTTTAGTTTGCTGACCAAAGCTGCCCCGAATCATATGATGGCAAGACTTTCACAGTGTGTGAGCAGCACGTCTTCCCAATAGTACGCTTCACCACTTTTGAGTGTGCCAATCCAAAAAGAAGGATTGGCTTGTTTTCACATGATTCATATGTCCAACACACATGGGAAAAACTTAATGTTAACATCAAACATAGGAACCCACTGTTTCTTCTGTCCGAATCTTCATGGGTTATAACAAGCGGAGAAAAGCACTTACTAAAAATTTCTAAAATACTAGTGAAAGAGGCGATGGTCGGCGAGGTTTCGGTTTGAAACAACACAAGGAAATTGTCAACTTAGCGGAATACTTTCTTGGCATTTGTATATTCTAACCGTTTCTGAACAATACGATCTAGGCTGGCTAAAAATAAATAACTAAAAATGGGCGCAAGGCAAGATCCAATGCATACCCTTTGACGTTGTAGGTAAATACGGTCATCCCACGATGATGAATGTCGATCTAAGGTAATTATCTAGCAGTTGCATGAAAGCTTCAACAGATATGCCTATTGCATTCTGGTAAGTCATAACACCAAGCCTGCTAATGCACTCGCGAATGCAAGCTAGAAACTCATTGTGTGGCAACGAGTAATACAAATCTTCAATATTTATAGAGCATGCCTGGTAACAAGACAATTTGTTATCTTTCAGCACAGAAATTACACCATCGGAACTCTTTGCCAAGAACGTATCGTCCATGTTTAATAACATCAGTTTACCCTGAAGAAATTGTGCCAGCGCTTTCTGCCACGAGTTAAGCTATTAGGCTACGATCCTATTACACAGAAAAGACAGTTAACTCTGTGCATTTCGGCGTTAACAAAATTTTCATGCTAAGTTTCCCGCCATCAATATTTTTTACAAAACCATCAAGCTTCAGCATTTTACAAATTCATGAGGTCGCAGAAATGGCTAGGCAGTGTATGCATCGGGAGGCCTTCGATAGCTCTATCACAGAAAGAAATAGATTTTCTTCAGAACACTAGTACACGTAATGTTCATAGCGTGAAATCGCGATTATTATGTAGTCATAGGTGTTTTCAGTTTTTTATCTTTGTTTTATCATTCCTCATGTATGTGTCAAATAGTTCTCAAATAAATATTGTGCGGTTCCAGCAAATCAGTTTTGTAAGTCAGCACCGCTGTTTGTATTTTTCTTTTTCTTGTCCTCCGTTTTCGGCGCTGTTTTTATGTGAGCTATTCCATTTATCCCATCAAGTCCACCGCTCTACAAAGCTAAACAGTTGCTCCAATATAATAACATTCTCGATGTTGCCACCTTTATAAAATACGATTTTGCCTCTTTTACTTTCAAACTAATTAGTGAACAAATCTCATTGTAATTTATTCCATCATTATACTAACTTAATACTAACCAAACTCATTTCACACAGCTAACAACTTCATTCTGCCCAAAATGCAAACTAATTATCGCAATCAGACAGTTCCCTTTGGTGTCATATCAATATAGAACACTTTACCATTTTAATAAAAATAAAAAAAGACATAAATTTGGTTATGAATTCAGAAAGTTTTTGTTATGTGGCGTTCAATTTTCGGCATAATCTCGTTTTACCCCTGACTTAGCATTCTCACCTCAAACGTTTTTCCTCTTTTATAAGTTATTTATGCTTATAGTTTACATTACCGAACAAGCATAGTTTATGATAGCATCGTCTGTTCGTTGTATCTGAATTTTGTAATATTACTCTTTTCACTGTTTTCGTTGGTAATAAAACATATGTGTTTATATCACATAAGAGGTCCCATTTCAGTTTATACTATGGGACCTCCTTCTGCATATACCATATTTACTCATGTAATGAACTCACTCGCATAATGACCCCCCCCCCCCCCCCTGCTTTTGGTCCCCGAAAAAAAAAAAAACTTTCTTTTATTGCATCTTTTCATTTTATTTCGGTATGATAGCTAGTGCTGTTTACAATCAAAACAATGTTAAATAAAGCCATTATATCACAAAATAACAATGCAATAAAAGCCAAAACATAGTTTTGCAACTATGCTAAACAGTTGCGAGCAGCGCGGACAGCAGCAGACAAAATTTGAAAGTCGCGCCTTTTATGGCAAAATACCATCTGTCAAATGCAGGACAAAATGCTTTGCTGATAGCATCATGCAAGCACAGCGGCACAAAATCAAAGCGTGTGGCTTCCAAAATGGCGTGCCCGCGACATAGAAGCACGCTGCACGCTAGCTATCGTGAAGGCCATTCAAAGCACAACCATTCCGACAGCACATTGTGCCTCTGCAACATTTTCCACAACATTTGTGTGCCACTATTCGACGCTGCGTTTTTATTGCGGGTTTATCGTGAATTTAGTTAGGACACCTGCTGCACAGGGCGCATTTGGCTGGTATGCTAGCTACATGGCTGGTTACAAGCAGCATGCGCCGGAGCATTGGAACCGAGCGGCTGAATGACACTTCGGCTTGGATTCGTGCGCTTTCGCTATGGGAGGAAATAAAAAGAGCGTTAGGCTGTAGCCCAACGCTTTTTTTTTTAATTTTTATCACAAATTTCATGGGCCAAAACGAGCAAAGTCGTCATGCGAAATTTTTGCTGTTATAACTCCCGTGACTTTTTTATCCCACCTAATGAACCCCTCCACCCCCCCCCCCCCCCAATTGGCGTGAACTTTTCTGAAAAAAAAGGTGGGTTCATTAGGCAAGTAAATACGGTATTTATTTTGGTCATTATGTTGTGACTGAATATTAAAACTTGATTGATTGATTGTTTGATGCCACAGTGATGAAATATAACCTGTTGTATCATAAAATAGAAAACGCAAAAGTGACAGCGCAGTTGCATGTATTCAGTTTTAGTTTCAGTTTTATTGAGCATTTTCTTCACAGAGTTGCGAAAAAGATAACGCAAGGATAAGAGCAAAAAGCTGCTATGTTAGCAGCTTGACGAGGCTCCTACCCCTTTTCACTTGGCATTACAAAAATCCGCAGAGCACAAAACATGAAAAAACAATTTGACGTCGATTTTCAAAACTTCAAGGAATTAGGAAATAAAAAGGAAATGCATCAAAATTACATCTGTTTCAGGTTTATATAAAATAAGCAAACCACATAGAGAGAAAAACAACAAAAAACAAAAGAAAACAGCGTGTGGTCAATCATGAAACAATGCACACGTTGCTAAACGGCTACCAAAGTATTACAAAATGATTATACAACGTTTACAACTCTGGGTATGCGAAAAGCACAAGTTTTAATGCACAAGGGAAACACTGACGAGTGAAATGTTGCATGTTTTACTCATAAAAAAAAAGCAACGAAAAAAATGTCAAAGAACGCAAACATCATAGGATGCCATGTTGCACACGAGCACTATTATAGGGTGTTTCTTTTACATATAGTACTGTAGCCGGACAACTAGAAGATGCTAAACTAAACGCCGCCATTTTGGATGAGAAGGTTCTTAAGCTGTTTTTTATGTATATTAAAGATGTCGATGTTTTTATTTTCAAACATGTTAAAACAAGCTGGAATACAGTGTTCAAGTCTTCTCAAACCGTGATTAGTTCGTGAATAAGGAACGAACCAGGAAGGCCTTTTCCGAATGTCATAATAGGATTGTGTATTTTTTCTGAGGTTACACAGTTTAAGGAAACAAGCGTTGTTTGATAGCAAGCTTTGTTTGTATTTCATAATAAGGTTGAAACTGTGTATGTGATCGATCGGTAAAATCTTATATTCTCTGAATAAATGACTTGTATGTGCGTCGTATGGTACGTTTGCAATATGACGAATTGCTTTTTTCTGCAGTAAAAATATTTTGTTCTGATTTGCTTTAGATATATCTGCCCACACTAGACTACAATAGTTTATGTGAGATGAAAACAACGTATTATAGAGTAAAAGTTTAATGTTTGCTGGAAGTATCTGTCGAAGTTTAGAGAGAACACCACACGTCCTAGCTATATTTCTAGTTACTTTATTAACGTGTTCGTCCCAATTAAGATTTTCATTAAAAATTACTCCTAACGATGAAACTTCTTTAACAACCTCAATTTTTTCGGGCCCGAGAAATATATCCAAACCACGACAGACAGCCTTCTGAACCGGTGCGAATACCACAGCTTTGGATTTTTTTGTGTTGATCATTAAATAATTTGCAGTACTCCATATGAAGATGTCGTTAAGAATGTTGTTGGCTGAGTCTGCAAGCTTACCTAAATCATTACCATGAAAAAATATACTAGTGTCATCTGCATAAATTATAAAGTCCACATATTTACTGACACTTGTTATGTCGTTTATATAAATATTAAACAGTAGGGGCCCTAATATGCTGCCCTGAGGTACACCTGACGTTATGGCTAGTAGGGAGGATTGGCTGTCATTTATAACTACAGATTGCTTTCTTTGTGATAAATAAGATTTCAGAAAGTCAAGTGGGGTTCCCCGAAAACCATAATGACGCAATTTTGCATAGAGTACTTCGTGGTTGATTCTATCGAACGCTTTGGAATAGTCAATAAAAACACCCAGTGTTAACAGTTTCTTTTCAAATGAGTTAAGTATGAGTTCTTTTTGTGTGAGGAGAGCCAGTTCCCTGGACATGCCCCGTCGGAAGCCAAATTGATGTGGTGATAATATAGAGTACTTTTCACAAAAAGACATGACACGTTGATATATGATTTTCTCTAGCCCTTTAGAGATAACAGGAAGTATTGAGATCGGACGATAATTAGAAAAGATATTGCGGTCACCAGATTTGTATAAGACACTAACTCTCGCATGCTTCATTTTTTCTGGGAAAACTCCCGTGGATAAGCAGATATTAAACAGATGGGTAAGAACAGGTAACAAAAGATCAAGTGCTGCTTTAATAGGTCTAATTTGTAGGTCATCTATGTCCCGAGCAGTAGTGTTCTTTAGTGACATAAATACAGACAGTACTTCTTCAGGAGTTGTGTTTAAAAAATATGCAGTGCTCATGTTTGGCACACCTAGAAAGTCCCTGTAATCACTATTACAGGCACGAGAAGGGTTTGATAAATCAGAGGACACCAGCGTTGTGAAGTACACGTTAAATTTATTAGCAAGTTCTTGACCCTTTACTATCTTGTTATCTATGTTTAACTCAAGTGCGTTGTCTCGAGAGCAACTTCTATTTAGAAGCTTATTTATTTCTCGCCAAAGCACGTCGCCACGAGTGCTAACCCTCTTGAAGAGAGCTTCATAGTACGCATCCTTAGTTTTTCTCAGTTGCTTCGTTACAAAATTTCTATACCGCTTGAATTCCGAAAAATCGTTATAGTGTCTTGTTTTCACGAATTTTGCGTACAGTAGATTTTTCTTCTTAATCATTTCCAGACATTCTCGCGTCATCCATTGTTTCCGACCTTTCTTTAGTGTTTCGACAGTTTTATATTTAAAACACTTATGGTAAGTTTTTCTTAACAGGCACATGAATATTTCATATGCCTCATTAGCGTTAACTGATTTATAGACAGGATCCCAACAAATCTGCGCGATTTCACGCCTAAAAGTGTCTAATGTTTTGTTACTAATTTCCTGTATTTTGTATGATTCTGGAGTTGATACTTTTGCACGATTAAGATACTCGTTGCGATTTTGAAACATGTATATAGGGTAGTGATCACTAATATCGGCAATAACAGTTCCAGATACGGTTGAATCACTTATGTCATTTGTAATAAGTAAGTCGATAAGGCTTTCAGAATCTAAAGTGACACGTGTAGATTCAGTAATAATATTAGCACACGCAAAGGAATCAAGTAGTAGTTGGAAGTTACGAGAGGTTTCAGTTTGCTGTAAAAGGTTTATATTGCAGTCACCCCCTATGATAATGTGCAACTTGTTAGTACACGCATACGTAAGCAGATTTTCAAGAAATTGAAAAAACGCTTCTGTTTTTCCGTCAGGTGGACGATAAACTACCACGTATACATACTTGTGACATTCTAGTGATAATGCCTCATAGTCTGGTGTAATCGCTGAAAATTCTGAGAGAAGGCTGCAAACTAAATGATCAGCAATTAGTTGCAAAACACCTCCCCCTCGACGAGAGGGCCTGTTTAGAAAGAACGATTTATACGTTGGCAAGCATAATACCTCGTCATTGCACGTGTACCAAGTTTCAGAAATCATGATGATGTCGAATTTAAACGAGAATTCGTCGAAAAACGTAGTTATATCATCGTGCTTGTTGCGAGCTGAGCGAGCATTTAAGTGCATGATACTGCAATATCCACTAGTGTAAGACATATTGACATTACGTGGTAATATCGCCATCTTAACAAAAGGAAAAAAAGAAAAAGAAAAAAAAAGGTCGCGCCGAAAAAACGAAAAGTGCTAATCAGATAAGCCTACGGCATGCTAGATGCCCCGCGGCTGCTTGAATTGGCCGCGTGCATCTTGTGCAAGTCAGCTTCACATGTGATTTGAACTGCACGAGATGTTTCCGTTTCAGACGCAAATATTTGGCCACCACTTGCCCACGCGAAGTGCCAGTTCATTTCCCGTTTCCGAGCAATCATCATACCCAGCAATTTTTTCAGTTGGGGACAAAGTTGCTCATTTACGAAAACAGACTGTTTAGTTGTGAAACCCAGTTCCTCAGCTGTGAATCGAGTTCTCCTTGCTCTCTTAACGATGGCATCCCTCTTAGCTCGGCGATTGAAAACAACCACAATGTTTCCGCTAAGGGGGGCATCACTGCCTGCTTTGCTACCCCGATCGGGAACAGCGCTTGCATGAGGGCGTACCTCGTTCTTTGCAACACCTGGGTCTGGTGCCGTGTTACTTTGCGAAGTGGCACTCCTCGTTGGCAAACGGTGGCATATTTCTATGTCTTGTTCACTTATTGGCTCCCCCAAGGCGTCACCAACTTTGGCAAGCAACTGTACAAGGTTTTCATTAGGGGTACGTGGGATCCCTTTAATTTCTATATTTTTGTTTCGAGAGTATTGATCCTGAGTAGTTAGGCGCGTGGAATTTTCGTGCACCAACTTTCTCAAACGGTCTATCTCACATTGCATTGCCTCGTGGGACGCCCTGAGAGCAGCGTTTTTCTTTCTAATTTCAGCACACTCTTGTTTTATATTTTCGTAGTCTTTGTTCAAGTATTCAAGGCTTTTGTTTAACTCTCTGATTTCTTTCCGAATGTCGCGTTTGAAGTCCGCGAACTCAGTACCCATGATTAAAGGGCAAGTTACAGATTCAACAGTGGGCAAAACAAGTACGAACTTTGAAAAATAGGCAACAGAGACAGCGCTAGGATAGCGAATGAACTATACAGAACAGGAGGGCAAATGCCTAACCTGGGAAAACAACAGCAATAAGCGTCCCTGTCGTATGCTGTCCCTGCTGCCAAGTGATCGAGGGAGGCGTTGCCGCTGTCTTTTTGAAGGGCCAGGGGTGGCCGATGCCACGTGGTATGGTGCCGGGCGCAAAAAACGTAGCCGGTCGGTCAGCGCGGCACTCCTGCAAGGCGCTGGATGTAGCACGCTCCGCTACCAACGCCGATAGTCAGCCACTGTACGCCTCGAACACCTGGGAAAACAACAGCAATAAGCGTCCCTGTCGTATGCTGTCCCTGCTGCCAAGTGATCGAGGGAGGCGTTGCTGCTGTCTTTTTGAAGGGCCAGGGGTGGCCGATGCCACGTGGTATGGTGCCGGGCGCAAAAAACGTAGCCGGTCGGTCAGCGCGGCACTCCAGCAAGGCGCTGGATGTAGCACGCTCCGCTATCAACGCCGATAGTCAGCCACTGTACGCCTCGAACACCTGGGAAAACAACAGCAATAAGCGTCCCTGTCGTATGCTGTCCCTGCTGCCAAGTCTGACTTTTGAAGCCCCAATTTACCAAGAAAACTCAAGATCATACTGTGTAAATGTTTGAATTGTCATTCTCTTCTTTAAAAAGCAAATTTCCAAACACAAAGCCTTTATTTTGGAGCAACTAGAAAATAGAATTGAGTGAGTTTAGCAAAACAGACTAGAAAGATATCATTATAAAGTGCAAGTTCACCACCACACTCCTTATTGTAAGAAGACTTTACAGCGCTAAACTGGTTAAGCTTGTGCCTCACAGAAATGAAGCAAAGCTTTTTAGGGGAAAACTTTTCTGTCTCGTCAGATATTGCATTGCATTTTGTACAGAAGGGCTAAAGGGAGCTCACAAGAATCTGCACAATGTAATGGTTTAGATTTCTCAGCACCTTCGTTTGTACTGTTCCACGGCACAGTCCTGTGACACATAAGCACAGTAATTGACAGTCCTGAGCAATCACAGGAAGAGTTCTTGCAACGTCTGATTAGGTTCGTTGCTGTGCTCAACACACAGTACCCACAGTCAGAGATGCCATCAAACTGCCTGGTACAGTGAATCACTGCTGGTGAAACTTCTCTGAAATATCTACGTCATAGACGTGGCGATGCTGCAAGTTTACTCTTGATGTACATGAGCACACATCTGCTGGTGCAAAGACGTATTTCGAAATGGGATGACACTGTGTGCTAGGTGGTTTTGGTGTTGCTTTTCGGATTACTCCCAGAAGTTGAGGAGGAGCGGTGGTGGTGCGTGTTGTGTCCATGGTGGTACTGCGGCAGTGAATGAAGTGGTGCATAGTGTGGCTGTGGCCGCATACCAAACCATGAATTCTTCCACTCGAGGTGTTCACGAATCATCTGTTCCTCATCTGCCGTGAAACGAAGTAGCACAGATACTGCTCGAATCAGGTGTTGTGCCTGCAAAGAATACACAACCTCTTTTCCTCAAAATCTTTTACAGGAGGTGGACACAAACTTCTAACCGAAAATACTGCGGCAGCATACACAAGAAATACACTGCAAATATTGCTGCAATGTCATTATGGCACAACTTTACAGCAACTTATCCAATGGTTAAACATAGCACAAACTCATAAAATGACCTGGCTGCTGTATTCTGGAGATCTATCATACCTTTTTTCAAAAAATAAAGCTGTTTCACCTAATATAAACAGATGGTGCTCTTATAAATTCTATTCACGTGCCGCCTCCACAGCAATTTGATTTTTGTCATAACAGGCACGGTTTAAGAAAGCTAAAATGCACTAGACTTTTGGTACTTATGTAGGTGCATCGGGACATTAAAGTGCAAACAGATATGTGCTTACCTCATCCTCTTTGCTTGTCATAAACTTGAAGACTACATGCTTGAGATATTTGAAATTGATGTCATCTTCTAGTTTGCTGTCAGAGCGTTGTGGCTGTGCTGCATCTTGCAGGGCGGTTTCTGCTTTTGCTGCACTGTCCCCAGCCGAGCCGCCATGGTCGACCGGGGGTGGCACATCACTAGCTGTGCAGGATGAGCCCTCAATATTGAGCACAGCAGTCACTGTGGCAGCACCTTGGTGGTTCTTGAGTTCCTTCTGTAGAGTTTTTTTCATGTCACTCATCCTCTGCTGCTGCAACTTCAGCATCTACCAGTGAAAAAGATGAAACAATTCATTAGACTTAGCCGCACTCAGAGTTAACTGTGCTTTTGAGTAATATTAACTTTAATGTTTATCTTGTAATGCATTAACCATTGTTTTGACAATTATAAATAACTTCAAAATAAAGTGACTGATTGTTGCCACAGCTTAAACTCTTATTCTATAACTGTAGCGCCTTGAAAAGATCCATAGCAATGACACTAGCTTTCAGTGTCGTTTGGCAGCTGCTTGGCATGGCACTGTGTGTCGCACATAGTTGCACATGGCCATGCCTTCCTCCAAGCTTATGGTTATTGAGCTTGCTCCCATCTCTTGCTTTTTCTGTGGGCTGCCATTGAGTTGTGCAGGTTGGCACACCTAATCATGGACTCCGAGATTACAGCAACTAGGCATCGTCAGAGCGGATGGGAGGATGCTAGTAGTAGTTCAGCGTACTTCAGAAACCACAGAACTAATGAATCAAAAAAGATAAAACAGTGTGGGACGGCCCTCAAATACGCACTGCAGGCGGCCACTTGATAACCCCTACTGGACGATGTACAGCATGTTTGGCTGTTCACGGTCACAGTTACCCTGTGAGTTTCATCATGATACAACAGTGCTCTCGCGACGTGAACCTGGGGATGGACTTTCTAAACGAAAATGGCACAGTGATTGACTTACAGACGAAAACCATAACGCTGACAACAAAACAGTCCACATCAGTGCAGCGACATTATCATTGCGCCCCACTGACCATCCTCGCCGATCAAGTAAGCGTCCTGCCAAATGCAAGTGTTATGGCATTTATCGAAATCGATGCACTCTCAAGTGGTGATGTAATCGTGGAAGAAAACCTACAGCTACTTCTCAACCACCAAGTTTGTGTCACACGTGGGGTCGTCCGGCTACACCAAGGCAGAGCCGCTGTGCTTATCACCAATTTCAGCGCGGAACACAAACACCTCAAGAAGGGCATGACAGTTGCATTCATGGAAGACTTTGCCGACATAAGCGATGCTCTAGCGCTCTCCGATTCCTCCCAAGCAGCACCGCCAATAACAATCAATGAGGCGAGCTTTGACATTAACCCCAACTTGCCACAACACAAACAGGAGAAGCTGCATCCCATCCTCTTGGAATATATGGAATGCTTTTCTATGTCATCGAAGATCCGAAAAACATCGTTAGCCAAGTATCATATAATTACTGATGAATCAGTTTGTTCGATCCGCCAAAGTCCCTACTGCGTGTCAGTGTGACAACATGATGCAATAAAGATGCAAGTTGAGGAGATTCTCTGTGACGACATAATACAACCCTCGAAGAACCCGTAGTTGTCACCCGTGGTGCTTGTGAAAAAGAAAGATCACTCTTTACGCTTCTGTATAGATTATCAGCGACTAAAAAGCGTCACCAAGAAGGACGTCTACCCACTGCCGAGAATCGATGATACGTTAGACCGACTGTGCGGCGCCAGGTACTTTTCCTTGATGGACTTCAGGAGCAGCTACTGGCAGATCGAGGTGCACAGTTTGGTAGCCACTAGAAGTATGATAGCCACCTTTTGGGCCCACAGTCCTGTATTTTTTCGCCGTCGCCAAGCGGTGCGTGTTGGCTTCTTTTTGGGCGCAAGTCAGCCCAATAAATTACTTTTTATTTTATTCCAGTTGTGGTCTCCCTCTCTACTGGTCTGCGCACCGTGCGGCGTATGGTCACCTACGCGACAATTATATGGCACATAATGTAGTAAGGAACTGCATCTGAGTCAACCACAGAGACAACTAGTCGAGCAGTGCACCGCTGCGTTGTTGTACAGGGGTAGACATTGGCCTGCAAAGAGTTCAGCTCTTAAACAACTTGAAAAATACAATTTTACACATTTATCTCTAGCAAGGTATTGATTATGCTGCCATGATAATTATTGGCAAATACCACATGCCTTGTTTTTTTCAGAGACTTGGTTCTCGAGAAGAACCACCTTGCTCTCCAGGTCGGACACGCTGGTGCTGTTGCTCACATTGGCCACAGCTTCCTTCTCTAACTGATTCACCTGCAACGAAGCAATACACCATCCCTCCCTTACAACAAGCCAATGTACAACACGCCAAAAACCTTTTTGCGACAAGGCTGCGTCCCTCAATCTGTTCCAAAAACACTCCACCATGAAAGCTCCCTAGGTAATTGAGTGTTTGCACAGCTGATTCATCTTTGTGCTATGCTTCGATACCTACCACCACAACAAAAAGAACACAAAGAGTAGTTATACGCTATCTTATTTCTCACTTTCGCATGCCGAAACATGTATGCGATTGTGAGGCATGAAGATGCTGGATTTACTTTGACCACCTGGATTTCATAAATTTTCAACTTTACCTAAGCACATGAGTGTCTTTACATTTTAACTCCATCGAAGTGCCACTTGTGTGGCCAGTAAATGAACCCATGATCTCGAGCACCACAACATTCAGGCTAAGCTACTGCAGCTGCTCTTGCCATGTGCACAGTGTGACATTTTTCACTTTCAAGAAGTTTCTTGATATAAACCACACTTTTGAGAGTAACAGTGCAAGACCTTCCGTGCTAGCTGAACACTGGCGTTTGGTGATAAGCTGATGACCTTTTTTGACGAATACATTCCTTCTAAACTCTAAGCAAGTCATCACAATAATGACAGACCATGGGTAAACAAGAAAATTCGAGCTTTAACTAGAATGAAATTCCGCCTTTATGCTGCACATTGAAGAAATTGCAAACAGACTGTTCATGAAGAAAATACGTAACTTGGGCTACAAAATAGAACATGACACTAAACAAAAACAGATATGCACTTGATAAAAAGCTCAAAGACACTCCCAAAGAATTCTGGAATATATTAAAGTCAACAGAAAAAAAGGTGAACAAGAACCCTAATCTACTGCCCGATGGACAAGCAGTCTGTGATGATTACGAGAAGGCTTGCACATATGTTTAATGTTTTAAATCGGTTTTCAACTTTATCAACTTCCTGAAATGCCGATTTATCCTACAAGAATAAAGAATATGCCCACTGTCACTGCCATATATAATGGTGTTCTTAAACTACTTACTAACCTAAAAAACATCCAGAGGCTCTGATGGCACACCAACCAAAGTAATCAAGGCACAACCACAGAAAATATATAATGTTTTAGTCATTTTATTCAATTAGTCTCTATACAGCAGTTCAATTCCAAACAAATTAAAAGCAGCAGCTGTTGTTCCCATTCATAAAAGTAGGCCTAAACATTCTATAAAGAAGTACAGACCGATCTCGCTTACTTTTGTTTGCTACAAAACAATAAAACATATGAGGTGTGTTATAAAAGTATGACACCGAGTTTGCAATTACCAAACTATTTAGCTTTTTCAAACAACATTATCTCCTTCAAAGTAGTTCCCTTGCGTAGCTAAACACTGGCACAGTCGTTGCCCCTCTTGGTAGCAGCGCAGGAAGCCCTCAACTGGTAGGGCTTTTAAATGGTCGGTAACAGTCTTTTGAATATTCTCCAGAGTTTCACAACGATGTTTTCAGAACATGTTTCAATTTTTGGAAAAGAAAAAAATCACAACAGCTCAAATCATGTGAACAAAGGGGTAGGGCCATGAGAGTCATGTGTTTTGAGGTAAAAAAAATTCACTTATGGCAAGCGCCGTGTGACACAGGTTATTATCCTGTTGAAGCATCCACTTGTCCGCAACTTCTCGTGTCACACAAATTTGTGTAAGATGAGACATTGCCGACAAGTGTTTGCCTGCTAAATCGTGTGAGACGAGGCATTGCACCCAAGTGCTTTGCATGTTCAAATCGCCGGTCAAAATTTGTGTGTGGTGAAGGTGTTGAAACTTGACTCTTCATAAATCATGCTTGGTGTTAAACGACGATCTCATCTCACAAGAGCCTTCATTTATTTATTTACAGTACCTAAAGTGCCCGCGTGAGGCATTCCTGTAGGGCAGAGACAATAACGTATCAGTAAACTTGACATTTATGCTTACTGATGATTGATTTCTGGGGTTTAACGTCCCAAAACCACCATATGATTATGAGAGACGCCGTAGTGGAGGGCTCCGGAAATTTCTACCACCTGGGGTTCTCTAACGTGCACACAAATCTGAGCACACGGGCCTACAACATTTCTGCCTCCACCAAAAATGCAGCCGCCGCAGCCGGGATTCGATCCCGCGACCTGCGGATCAGCAGCCGAGTACCTTAGTCACTAGACCACCACGGCGGGGCACATTTATGTTTACTGATATAATGGCTAATGAAATTGTAGCTGTAGGTATGCCAGTTAAATTCTCAGTGGGATGCAAAAATATCTCTTCTTTAATAGTAAAAGAATGCATAAATATCCTTTGTCTGCCTTTAAAAAAAATCTTTTATTTAAGTTAAAGAAAAATGCACTGTCAATTAATGTAAATAAAACTGAAGCTGTAATTTTTGATTTCATAAGTACCTACTACGCTTTATTCCTTTTACGTTTTAACTAATGCACGTTAGTGTGGAAAAGAATGGCTAATACTAATTTACAAAAAAAAATCATCTCTTCATAATAAAATCTTCTGTCAAATTTATAACTTTCCTCGCAGGCATACGACAGATCAATTGTTTAGTGAACATGAAATCGTCAATACAGTCAAATCTCACTACAACGAAACTGACGTGGCGCGAAAAAAATTTTGTTAAGGAGAAAATTTCGTAGCAGTGAAATTGAAAAAATATAGCTGATCTGAGCTAGCAAAACAAAGGAACGTTTAGTCTCAAAATTCAAAAAGTGTCCGCTGCTTCCCATTCTTTCCCAGCAGCATCACGACACTATTCTCCCCCATGCATTGCGAAGCCATGGTGAAAGGCACACTGAAACAAGGCCTACAACCGCTTTCGCGAATTAACCAAACAGCTGCATTAATACATTACCAGCAGCAGCTGTCTGCCATTAAAGTGTATCCGACACCGCCAAAATGGAGACAGGGGCTGTGTTTCAATACTCACCATAGACGGCTAAATAGACAGCTAAATTGACGGCGGCCATCTTAAGTCCTATTCCAATTCTCACGTAGCCGGCAAAATAGACAGCTCCGAGAAGACCGGATCGTAGACAAATACAATGCAGGCGTCTTTGCTGTCTAAACAAGATGGCGGCTCATCGAATAGCTCAGATAGATCGAATATCGCTGGAATGGTCGTTTTCACACAAGTTGACACTTTCCCAGACGCTCAATGTGAGTAACGTTTATTTGTTTTGGATTTCAACACGAAATAAGCCAGAAAATACAACTGTTATGTTTGTTTATTTTAGCTTTTTCTTCTTGACGCGAGGTGGCGCATTGTCGTGTAAAAGCAGTCTAAATGTGTTCCATTTCTTCACGGAGGAAGGAAAGGTTTCCTTTCTCCGTGCATTTCTTCATGGAGGAAGGAAAGGTTTCCTTTCTCCGTGCATTTCTCGGACAGCATGGGCTTGAAGCTGTCTTCTAATCAGTCTTTATAGACTGTCTACGTGCTGTCTAAGAATTGGAACACAGCCCGGGTATCGGGGAGCGGTGACTCTTGCCTTATTCTGTCATCCTTATCATCCACCACTCGCGGCTGGGTGATTTTGTTCATAATGTGGACGAACAGCTGCTCTGATTAGTTACCACAATGGCCAAGTGCAAACAAAATAATACGCATTGGCATCAAAAAAAGGCATCTTTCCACACAGCTGCGAGAAAGAAAACCATGAACTGAGCCACTGAGCTTCAGCTTCGGATCGTCTGCGGCTCAAAAGCAAGCCAGTGGCGAAAGCGGGGCAGTCTTATTGTCATCACTATCAAGCAATGACGGCGCCCATGCTCTCTGAACAGTTGCGGTTTTCGGTGGTGCCAACGTGTGTTTTAGACTTTGTCGTTGTATTTTCAAGTCTTGAAAATGCTTCAAAATATTAAAGACTGCGTTTACTGCATAGCAATAAATATCTAAGCCTAGAATTGTATGGTGAAATTTCATTGAAGCAGGATGGCAGAAAAAAAAAGTGTTTCTTGTGGTGACAATATTTATGCATTGACTCCTGTGGACTGGCGACAGGGAACTGTGAATTTTTCGTTATAGCGGAAATTTCGTTGAAGCGACGTTCATTGTAGTGGAGTTCGACTGTATCACAGATATCGCTTCCATGAAATGTTATCAACCAAAATACTCACATCTTCATCAGCCACCTTGAATACTTTTTTGTACAAGAACTAACTATGGACAACAATAAATTACATATCAGCTACATTACAATTAAACAAATTATATTCATTAGGTGTTGATATAGCAGATATCACCCTTTCTCAGCTTCCCAATATCTTATTAATGCTCCAGACAATTAAGACCTTACCTTTAAAGTTTGTAGTTAACAATTAGGAAAAACAATAAACAAAATTCAAGGAACGAGTTCAATCACCGCTACACGTAAATCATATGTTTAGTGTATTTGTGGTCTACATAATGCGACTTCTGATTTAAATTTCTATATATGTTCATTGCACTGTGATTTTTTGTTTTTTTTCGTTTTTGTCAGCGCAAGAGTCTGTAGCATGTTTGACAGCTTCATAATTCCTAATTTTGTTAATGTCGTGTACTTTTGTTAGCTATGGTGTTCTGTTACCGCCATTGCCACTGCCTTATATATATATAAGGGGGTGAGAATTTTGTCAAGCGGATAGTGGCTTCTATTCTCACCTCCTCCATCAACTGTGCATGGGTCAAAATAAACCACCACCACCATCATTATTATTATTATTATTATTATTATTATTATTAAAGGTCATCCTGATTTACAAGGCTGGTGACAAAAATACCAGAGAACTACCACTCCATTTGCATTTTAAGTACCGTAAATATTGTGTTCTAAAAACTAATAATTAAACGAATCATGTCTTTCCTAGAACACGAAAGTATTCTAACATCCTGTTGTGACGTCCCCGCAAACACGCACTGAACCCCGGTCCTTTCAAGATGTTTACGCTCGTTTCTCAAACCCACGCATTAAAAAAAAAAAGGCAAAGAAA